TATTTATGTATTTTTTGGATCCTTTCTCATAAGATGCTAAAGTTTACAGGAATCTGTCTCAAAGATGTCAGATGGTCTGTCAGATAGTCATTCTCGACTCATCCATCAAGTGTGTTGAGATGGATACACAAGCGGGATAGAAGAGTAATGCACACTACAGAGAAAACTTTCCATGATAATGGCACAGATATTACATTCCTAATGTTGGCCCATTGATTACTGTCAGCCTCACAGCAAGCTGGATTTGGACAAATTTCCAGCCTGGTGCAACTAATGCTCTCCCAAGACACAAATCTAGCAAGACAGAGGAGCCAATCTGGTTGCAATAAGACAACATTTCAACCGCCCGAATCGATACAATAAAGTAACTCTGTCTGGGTAACGATACCCTTTTAAGCTAAAGTTTCATAAAGACTCACTAGAAACTATGTCAGGTGACTCCTCTTTAGGCTGAGGATTGAGTAATACATATGCCTTGCGATCTGGCAATGGAAAGAGTTGGTCGGCAGGGTTTAAGGGATGGACGATGGGGTGCTTGGAGTGGGCGATTCAAAGTGGAGATCTAAATTATGTGACAGGATCAATGAAAGAGACAGTCACACTGAAGCAAAAGAGAATATCGAAGCCAGTCTGAGGAAAGACTGAGCAAATGAGTGGAAAAATGAAAGAGCAAAATGTTTGCTGATCACGCATTTTGAGTTTCTTTGGGGCATTTCTTGCAAGCAGTTGTTTGTGAACAAAAATGTTAAATAGCATAAAAACTGCTAGAAAGGCAGTTTGACAGTCTTTTCATTCACTAGAGAAACAACAGCTTTTGATAAACAGCAGCAGGGTCACAGATCTTTCTAAAAGAAAATAACTGGGCTCTGTCCCATGTAACTCACTGGGGTCAATCTGAGCAATATCTAAAATATTAACAGTGTCTTTTGAGTGTGCGCTTGAGTCAGGGATAAAGAGAACACCAGAGAGACAGTAAAACACTGTAAATAGAAACACTTCTTTCTTCATAGCTCTGTTCTGCTTGATGAACTAAATCAGACCAATTTATCTCCTTGACTAAATCCTGGTCTTAATATCAGCCATGATGGCTGAACACAATCCTCTTACTCCCTCTGGTCGGTTTCACCCCTTCCCATTCGCTCATTTCCTGCCAGTGTAAACAGTACGAGGAATCCATTCGTTAGCTTGTGAGAAACCTACAACAATCTATCCCATCCTCCATTTACAAATCCACCATTAATCCTGCTTCCTGACTCTACATGTTGCTTCTTAAATCTTGACATCCAGCCCTCAGCAGAGTAATGAACATTGTGCTGGAATATGCAGCATGCATGTATCTGCATATCAGAAATATTATTTTAATAAAGCATATAGTATTTGCTATTGCTAAAACTACACTGCAAAAATCATTATTCCAGTGTTAACCAGTATTTTTCTTATTTCCTGTAAACATATCTAAACAAACGATATGTATTACAAGATACATACTGAATTAAGTTTCCTTTTTTTCTGTTTACTTTAAAGCAACAGACTTAAATTGTGTATAAACAAATCCTATTTTTTATGCAATTTTGCAGGAAGTAAATTTATGTTGCTTTAGGAATGTTTATAGATATTTTTACTAGGGACAAATACATACATTTTTGCAGCATCCTTCTAAACAAACTTGATCAGCTTCATGTTTGCTTTATGAATGCACATAATGGTTGGGAATTGAATCAACATTCCAACCCAAAAAGGCAGATTATTTTGCTCCTCATGCATAGGATGGTATAACACAAATCCTTTTACTCATGAGGAGAAATTCAGACTTCAAGTAAAACCATAAAACAAGTTATTAAACCTATGATTTCACAAACACAGCATAAGAAACAACTGTCATTATGTGTTAAATTGTGACAATCATCTAAAAAGGATACTTCTTAATTAGACTTAAATTATGATTGAGGGTATTTTTGTTTAAATCGACTGTAGTTCTACATTGTATCATCCGTACATAATAAAGCTCAACATCCTACTTATGATAAATACAGTATTTTGCAGTATCCATTTTTCCCTCGCAAATCCATCTATAATTTCCGAAAGATGTTTTTGCCTTATGCTAACAATAGCTGCGGGAATAGGATTTTTTTTTTTTTTTTTTTTTGCATTACTTTAACAGCAGTTGGGGTAATGAGATGTTCTACATTTTTCAGGACTATTCTAACAGGGGTTTATAGTCTTTGAGTAAATGTGCTTGACATCAACCCCCATTCCCACTGATGTACATTTACAAAAGATTTGCAAATCGTCTTTATCTACTTAATTCTAATGAAGCACTGACATGGTACATGGACTGAATGAAAGTGACTCTTGATTCCATTTGCGATATTCATGAAATACAGATAATAGAAAAAGGACCTTGAGAGCTAAACACTCCTGGCTGTTTGAATGTTTGATGCATGCGAATTACAGCGTTTGTGCAAGAAAACAGTGATATTTAAAGCACTCTCCTGCAGGACTGTCTAAGTCTCTCTTGACACAGAAATAACCAAGCAGTGTGAGTGAGGGACCCAAAAGCAATTTCATTCTGGCAAAGCGAGATAGTTGTATAGACCATGTCATATCAATGCATATGAATCCCTATTTTTCATAGAAATGTCTATGTTTGAAAAATCGTTCCATGTGAGTGCATACAGTTCAAATAAACATTTTTCATATAAATAGTCATCATTTAACATTGAAAAACTGAAAGGTTTTGAGCACGCCTGAAAGCTGAAGAAGACCGGAAGGTTGACGTAACACAGACGCAACATTAAGGTTGTTGCCTGCGGACATTATTAGGATTAGAGGAGGGCTTGAGGCATGAAGCGTTCTGGCCCACAAAGCCAGCTCACCACATTACATGCTCGCTAGGTCTGACCACTCGCAAATCCTTAGCTTTATTTTCTTCTTTTAATTAAACCACTGAGAGCTAAATTAATTTCTCCATATTTTTCAAGGTGATTAAAATGAAGAGTGGAAAGTGTAGATATACTGTATGTCAGAATGGAATGCTAAGCCATTGCATGTGTACGTATTGCGTGTACAAATCTCACACTAGTATCTTTAAGGCTTTCTATGATGTAAGGTCATGACATGCAAAAGAGATTGGGAAAATGTGTAATAGAGCTGTATGTGTGTCAGTCTCCTCTGTAAAATATGCAGGTGTGGAAACAGGTTTGTGCATGTACGTGTAATAAGAGTGGTAGAGTTCTCTCAATAGGTTCTAAGGTGAATGGACAACACATAAATTATACAATAGGCAAATGTGCAATTTCATTTTTTAAATGCCCCCTTTGGAAGATGTCAGGCCGGTATTTATGATATGTTCATTGCTCTGCATTTTTAATTTCCCTGCAGGAAGGAAAAATCATCCATATCACAAGCAGCAATTAGAATACAACTCACATCTGCAACCACATCTCAGATATCATTAGGAGCTTCCACATGGCAGCTGCTCTCTTGATTTGGATCTAAATCAACCCATACATACTAAAACACGAAGCTTTACAAATCACTGCTAAGCATCCAGTAGTGCCCTAGCTAACTGTTACACAATCTTACCGTATGGTATTGTCAACTCACATTATTGTCAGGGCTGACGCTACATGTTATTCATACAAAAACTTTTTCCACTACTTTCTTCCCATCCGTCTCTGCCATTTTTAGGTCTATCTTGCTTTTAGGGGGAAATAAATGTATATAAATGTGATCACCAGTTTTAAGTCCATTAATTTGTTAAAATATAGTTCTAGTCAAAAAATAAATATAATAAAATGAAATGAAATGAAATACATTTACTGTATTTGATTAAAAAAACAAAAACTAACGGAACCAACGTACTACAAATGGCATTTTACTCATATAAGAGCTTGAAATTCTTCATAGCCTTATAAAATTAGTCCTTGTTTGAAAGATGTTAAGACTTGTTTTCATTATATTGCTACTGATCTCTGCCTTACTGGTCACTGTTTTATTGTCAACATATATATTCCTGTTCCAATGGATACAACAAGGTGCGATTATCTCTGACAACTCAATCCAGCTATCAAACATGTTGAGAAAACAACGTTGCACATGCATTTGAAGAATTCAATTAGCATAGTGGAATTAACATGATTAGAAGATCTGGCTCATTATATTTTAACTGGAAGTGATGTATGACAACACTGCCCAGCTTTGCACTTAAACATACATAGTTTATATAAAGAAATATCACTGCTAATTAGACCAACATATTCTAGCGTAGGCAGATAAACAACTTCCTGCTTGAGAACAAAACCTGAAAGAGAGGAAGTTTTGTTCAAAATATTCAACATGAGACATGGATCGCCTGCTTTGTTCAATTACAACCACGGCTGAAAAAACTGGCGTTAGAACGTTTGTCATTAACTCGCGGCTGCCAGGTTTACATTTATTCTGAGAAAAAAATTCCCCATCTAACAATTATCACAAGCTCCCTGCTCCCCCCAAACCCATTCAATCCCAGTCACTCAGTATTGTTATTCGGGAAAGAAAATCAATATCCATGCCAGGACTGGATAATTGAATAACGCAGAAAAAGAAAGGTCTTTCAGCCTCATATTTGTGCAAAAGCTCAGAAACGAAAAGATTAGTCTTACAAAGAGTGGTTTGGATCCATGTGGAAGTTCACTTGATCATGTCTCTTTTTACACTTTCAAAGAGGCACATGAAAGTGATATGAAGACGAGGCATCTATGCATCTAAGTGCATGTGGATTGTGAGCTTCAGACAGTTTCGTAAGGCAACAGTTCTCATCCTAATATAATGTTTAGACACTGTGTTTGGTTGTTTCCTCAAAGAGCTTGCATATGTTCAGGAACCTGCTGCAGATTACAGACTGCTAAAGGAAGCCTGTTGTAAACATCTCACTGCTGTTGCGTTCACTTTCTCTCCATATGTGAAGTGAAATAAAGTCATTCGAAAAAGCTCTCAAAGGAAAACCTGTACTTTCTCACCTGTATCCACTCTGCGTGTCCACACAGACTCCTCCATTGTGGCAGGTTTTTCTGGGATAGACAGAGCAGCTCTGGTGGAGGTGTTCACGTGCTGAGCAACTGCAGACAGCTGTGGTTTCCACAGTCACTGACACCAGAGCCATGCTGCCTGAGTCGACCACCGCCGGCTTGTCAGTCACGCTCAGATGGCTGGTGCAGCCCCCTCCTCCCCGACAGTCTGCATCCACACACTCATCTACATGAACCTGGGTCACGTTCACTTGAAGAAAAGACTGGAGCTGGATGGGGAAGGGAAATGGAAAGAGAGAGAAAGAAAGAAAGTCCATCACTTGTGAAATAATGATTAAAGAAAAATAATAGAACAAACTAATAGAGAGTAAAGAACACATGTGGACAGCTTCATTATTTTGAGTCATTTTGACCCAGAACCAGATTTTGAGTTTTATGCACTGAGTGAAATAATTATGTCTCTACTCAAAACTGCTGTTAAGAAATAATAACATAAGGTCAGCTTGTTCACAAGCTGTTCATGTCTTTCCATGGTTGAAACACTGATTGGGTGATTATGTAAGAGACGATTAATTTCAGTAAGTATCTTTGAAAATTCATGCTTATTTTTTGCTATAACTAGTAATTAAAGATGATCGGATCTGTCACACCACATTAACCCTCTGGGGTTGAAGACCGCACCGGTGCGGTTTGTCACGTTTTTTCTCGATGACCGCGAAAATAACTAAAAATACTCTGTCATTTTGATCAGATGACAGATACAGATAAGAGTAAGGCATTGTTTAAAACTGCAAAGGGTCTACTTTTATTTGTGCAGTAACACACGGAGAGACACAGCAAGAGAGAGAAAGAGAGCACACAGCAGCACGTAGCAACCAACAATATTATATAAATAAACACGGAACGTAACAATAGTCATAATTTACAACAAAACAATATGCTTTTGTAAAATAAAGAAAACAGGGTGCACTTTCTGCCATCTCGGTCAACTTTCCTCATGTAAATAAAACAACCTGAATCTCAGTGAATACTTGCCTCACAAACATGATAAATATGTATATATAAAGCTTGAAATGTACTTTTAAATGAAGTAAGACAAGAAAACAAATATTCAATGATAAAGTAATCCGTATGAAACCAACGTGAGGTACAGTTTTTCCCGTCTGAGCTCATTATCTGTAATGTGACCACGCCCATAAGCAAGCACGCTATTCAAACTAGAATCACCCACGTGACATGCGTGAACATGTAAATGCCCACATCTCCTCTGTAAACAAAGCGTGACGATTCAAGTTTATCTAGGCTACTTTTCATTTCTGGAAGAAGACGCACTGAGAGGAATAAGCCAGAATTTACCTTAGAAGAAGACGATGCACAAGCCAGCGGAGGAGATCATTTCTAATGAGTAAGGAATTTTATATTACTTGTATTAGTTGTTATTGTGACATAACTTGTACACATTTTACTAGTTAGACTTTTCCTAAACTATAATTCCTGACTACATGTATGAAATCAATTGAAACATTTTGAAATAAGTGTCATTTCTTTCCATCTAAATGTCTCACGATGCCGGGATGTTTTTTGATGTTCTATAAAATATAAAACAATACGATATAAAAGTAATATGAGTGTTTACACTGTAACACTATGTGAATGTTAGAGTCTAAGAATGTTTAGACCAATATTTACTGTGAAATACTTTATTCACAGATATGTGTAGATGTTTATAACGTGCATAACAATAATAATTTATTTTCCCATAAATTAAATGTTTTTGTATTGTATAATACATGCAATACATACATACACATGTTTGTGTTTATGACTACAAAATCATGTTTTTTTGGGGGGGTTTCTTTTTTTCCCCTGAGAGTGCTGTACCAACATCACATGTTGTTCAACTGGGCTGATGTTCTACATGAATATGGTTTACTTGTTTCAACATTTGAACAGGATCTTTTCAGCAATGGCACAAAGGTGTGTGACTGTTCACATCGCTGTGTTTAGATCAGTGTGCTCAATAATGTGTCTTTGACCTTCACTGTGTATATTTTGATTATACTGTGTTGTAAATAAAATACAGAGAATCAAGTTCTCAAAAGTCTTGTGAACAAATGTTCTGTATGTGTTTCAGTGACTTAAAAATGTTAGGTTTTCACTAAACACGCATAAACGTTGTTTTCTCAAAAACACAAAACATGTACATTCATGCTGCTCACATATTATTGTAGCCCAGTTTGTGCTGAATACAATGTAACAGACGTTAGCCATTAATATGTTTTTAAGATACTGAAAAAAGCACAGGGCATGTCAAAACTTCTCCAGGGCCCGGAAACACCCTCAGACACCAGAGGGTTAAAAGGTTTACCCCAAAATTATAATTCATCATTTACTCACACTCATGATGTTCCAAACCCAAACCAGACTTTAGTGAGCTTCAAAACACAATTAAGATATTTCTGTCCCTCCATTTGAACATCCAGGTAACTGAAACTTAAATCGAGTGGAGTAGTCCAAGTCTTGAGAAGAGATACAATTACTTTATAAGATGAACAAAGTTAATATAGTTTTTATTTACATCGAATAAATGGATTCATTTTACAATACCTTTATAACCTTTTTGGATCTTTTAAGTTTTACAGTTTTGGTACTACATGAGTGTGAGTAGATGACAGAAGGACTTCAAAATTACATTTATTATTTCAGTTTTGTAATTATCGGTGTGGCAATTGTGCACAGTGTAACAACAATTCATTTAAAACTGCTGTTTTTTGTCATCCAAGAACAGGTCGAAAATATAAAATTAAATATATAGTTGGGTTCAATTCCCAGGGAACACACATACTGGTAAAAAATTAATAGCCTGAATGCACTATAACTGTAAGTCGCTTTGGATAAAAGTGTCTGCTAAATGCATAAATTATTATTAAAATTATTAATTAAATTATAAAATTAACTCTTATTACATGTGCTTCAATCCATGTTGTGTACATTATTCGATGTCCATGTGGTCTGTGTTATGTGGGAAAAACATCTCGACAATTGAAACAAAGGATCAGTGAACATAAGAGTTCTAGTAGGAGAAAATATATTACTTATCCAGTTGCTGCACATTTCCTTTCTTTTAATCATGATGTGTCCTCCCTACGTTTCTTGGGGATTGAAAAGGTGTCCGTTCCACCAAGAGGTGGTGACATTGATGCCCTTTTATTAAGAAGTGAATTGTTTTGGATTGTGACTTTGCAAACTTCTTGGGTTTAAATGATGAAGCATTATTTAATGCAATGTTGTAAAGTGTCTTTATTGTGTATCTGAGTGTCTGTTTGATCAAGAGGGGATGTATTGTAACCCTGTTAAGATGTGAATTGTCTGATATTGTGATTTTACAAACATGATCATCTTTGTGTTTAAATAATGGAACATCATGTATTAGTAATGTTGTAAAGTGTTTTCTATTGGATATTTGAGCCCTCGTTATTTACGACATATGAGTTGGTGATTGGTCCATATGTAGTGTCGATGACATTCATTGGTTGGGCGTTTTTAAAAAATGTTGTGTCTTTAATAGTATGCATATGCATGATGAAGGTCAGTGGACCGAAACGTTTCTTGTGCTTGTGACGATAGACTTCAATATTTAGCAAGTACTGATAGTGTGCGGGATTGCATCGTTTTATATCCAGTTTTGTTGTAAGTTGAGACTTACCAAAATATCAAAACACAAAGTTTTTTTCCCTTCCTTATAATTGTGTTTCTTAGCAAGTGGCTCATTGTGACTTCCATGCTCGTCCAGTCTGGAGCTGGTCTAGTTGGTCAATAAACCAGCAAGGTCTTCCTCGTGAAGCTCATTGACCAATGAAGCCTTGCTGGTTAACATACTTAGACTTCTAGGCCAGGAACACAGCAGCACTCATACGCTGGTGTCCATCTATGCCAATCTTTTCAGCTGAGCTACCCTCAAATTAGCATACAAATAGCAAAACAAGTCCAACCAAGTTAACCAAAAAGACCCCAAACCCGCATAAACAGCGTTCAGCAACACTGGTGCACGCTCACTCTATTTTATTCTTGGACACATTGCGCACTCCAGAGCCTCTCTGGGCCTGTGCTTTTCCACAAGCACATAAACGGCACGCAGATACCCCACGTCCACAGGGCTGCCTCTCAACTTTCACACCATTTATTCAAATGCAACATCTGAAGTATAGTGGGTTGCTCCTCAGTGGACTGAGCAGTCAAACTCGAACAGTGATTGGCCTGTCCTACACTAACTCAAGCGACCAGCACACTTAAGGGAAAATGAAGGGGTGAAGAAACAAGAGTTATCGAGATCTACAGAGAGAGAGAAAATAGAGACTGATGTTCAAGGTGATAACTACTCCAAGATTAGCTGGGACCTATTTGCCAGGACATTATTCTGACTTGGGGGTGGTTCATGGAGAGGTATTTTCTACACAGCAGCTGTGGCAGGGTGATTGATGATGCTGTTTATGTTGATTTTATGTGTGATCAGAAGGGGAAACTCTGAGGGAGCACAGGGATATGGTGCAATGCACACAACAGGGCTGGACAGGCAAATGTCACAATGTGTTATGTTGGGGTGAGAACAGAAACAGTGGGGGCAGCGTTAGGTCTCAGAAAGGGTTTTATTTTAAATAAAATTGAACATAAAATATTTAAAAAGGAGAAATAAAGTGTACATGGGGAATATGTGTGAGAACTGAAAGGGCACAATAATGAGACGCTCACTGACTTCCCTGAGTGCCCTGCAGACAATGGGAACAGCAGGAGTTCTGCAAGCTGGCACTTGGGGTTTCGCAATATACCTGTATTGATTATAACTGTGGTATTTAAAATATAAAATATTGATATGTTAATACTACTGTCACGGAAACGGGTGTGTGGAGGTAGGCAGGATGACAAGGATTCCAATAATGACATTTATTGTAGACACAACAAGGCAGGTTCAGGTAGGTGAGACACACACTCGGGGTAACATTAACAATAACCGACACTAAAGCTCTGACAGACAGGTAAGCCCACGGAGGGCTCCTGTTTCCCCGTTAAGCCCACGGAGGGTTCCTGATTCCCCGGCTCCGTCATGGCAACCTGAGTCCCCTGTTCCGCCATGGCCTCCTGAGCCCCCTGATCCGCCATGGCAACCTGAGCCCCCTGTTCCGCCATGGCCTCCCGAGTCCCCGGCTCCGCCATGGCAACCCGAGCCCCCTGTTCCGCCATGGCCTCCTGAGCCCCCTGATCCGCCATGGCA